AGACATCTGTCATGCTGAAATGAATTTACAAATATACGAAGAGCGTGCTCTGTTACTTCTATTTATACAATGTGCATTTCTCACTTTTATAGCTTGTGTTTTGGAAACACATTTGTATCTTAAGATTTCTCTCAAATCATTTTGACCCTTCATTAATTGATATATTTAAGTATAACAAATGTGTGCTTGAAATTTGATGTCAGATGGGTGCTTGCTTGGAATATATTATCATGTGTTTGCATTTAAGAGCCCATGGTTTATGAGACAGCATCATAAGATTAGGTAATTGTAGCTGAACATTCACCTCTGACTGAAGACCAAATGTGCGGCATGACACTACAAGCTGTGCCCACGTTTTGTAGTGACCTCTGCAAGTTCTCATAATTCATACTGATTTGTACAAGAAACATTTTCACATAGATGAAAAACTACAAACAAAATATAAAACAAAATACTCACCATATAAGCAAAAAGACAAGATTTAAAAAATTGAATAGATAGGGATTATTCAACCAAAATTGTCTCATGTTCTACGACTAGCAGTGAGATTAAATGTAATATAGTTTACTGTAGCCAGCTTCACATCCTATTATGCATAATAGGGTGGGAAGTAGACAAGTAGGGTGGGAAATAGACAAATTACACAATTATTCTCTTCAGATTTTACTCTCATCTTCACAATGGCAGTCATCACAGGTCCTGCCTCATAAATGTATCAAAATAAAAAATATGCGATGGATTCTCTAACATGGATTTTTATAATATTAACTCACCCTCAATTCCTAATTTTAGAGCTGAAATATTCTTATACAAATAAAACCTTCACATAAATAACTTTTAAGTGTACACTAACAGAGAATCAGATTTCAGTTCTTGCAATAATAGGCCATTCTGCACACTTCAATTCAGGAATCTCTCCTGTGAAGACGAAGATCGCACACAGGAACAGAATCAATGGCCTTCAGGGATTTGGCAATGGCAATGGTCTACTTCTCTCAGACTCTCATTGGAACAGTGGGGAATGTCCTTCTTCTTTACCACTGCAGCTGTCTTCATTTCACTAAGTCCAAGTTAAGGCCCACAGATCTGATTCTCAAGCACCTGCTTGTAGCCAACTCCTTGGTCATTCTGTTTAGAGGAGTTCCTGAAACAATGGCAGCATTTGGCCTGAAAGATTTTCTAAGTGACCTGGGATGCAAACTTGTTCTCTATGTTCACAGAGTAGGCAGAGGTGTGTCCATTGGCAGCACCTGCCTCTTGAGTGTTTTCCAGGTGATCACGATCAGCCCTAGGAACTCCAGGTGGACAGATCTTAAGTTAACAGCCCCTGAGTATGTAAGCATCATCAGTATCCTCTGTTGGATCCTCCACATGCTGTTAAACACAATTGTTCTTATGTATGTTACTGACAGACGGTGCCATAAAAACATCACATACAGAAAAGAGTTTGAATACTGTTCTACTATTCGCCAACAAAAATCTAGGACAATCCTGCATGCAGCACTGCTGTTCCTCCCTGATGCATTGTGTGTGGGGCTCATGCTCTGGACCAGCAGCTCCATGATTTCTATTCTGTACAGGCACAAGCTGAGAATGCAACATGTTCGCAAGACCAACTTCACACAGAGATCTTCCCCTGAGACCAAGGCCACCAAAACCATCATTCTCCTGGTCAGCACCTTCGTCTGTTTTTATTCCCTTTCATCCATTTTCCAAGCTTTGTTCACTTTGTATAACAATCCTGACAGGTTCCTCGTGAACGTTGCTGCAGTAGTCACTGGCGGTTACCCAACTGTCAGCCCTTTTCTGCTCATCAAACATTTCCCATGCATATCTAATCTCACTGACTGTGTAAGAAATAAGAAAACCTATAATGTTAAGAGGATCATGCAACTTTCTTAATTTTATAAGGTACGTGTATTTTACATAGTTTTGGAAAATTCTGTTATTTTCCAGTTCACACCATGAGAGCATCATGAACATAATTATGGAACCATTCCACTCAGAGAAAGTGGTGAGGAAAAATAGTGCGTGGTGAGCAATAATGATACACAAATAATAATACCAGTTAGTAATGAAATATTACATAATTATTCTGTAAATAAGTACCACAGAGTCTTGGTGAGAATCTTTGAATTCTAATACTGCATTGCATATGAATGATTTTTCTTTGTTGAGAAATATTTCCCTAGACTGAAGCAAAAGTTTTCTGTGTTTAGCATAAACATGTCATCTTTTATATTTAAGATTTTGATCAGCAATGCATTAAAAGCTTGTGTATTCATTCAGAAGCGGATGAGGTCGAGTTAGAACAGAAATCATGTATCCAAAGCAGTGA